ATTTGCCAGCAGCAGAGTGAATGTGGCAGCAATCTGCTTCTAGACAGCATCACCAGTAGTGCTTTGTCATCATAAGAGCAAGATTTAATTAAATTATATGAATACTGAATGTGGAAAGAAATGCACTGCAGCCATTTGGTAGAGGTAAGTTGTTAAAATGAAGTCTGCTGAAACCAGAGCTGGTGAGTTAACAGGGAAGAAATCTCTAGGTATGGACTGGCTAACAAGGACCGTCTAATGGATGAGAAACCTGTCCGGCCATTGGTTCTGATTTCAGCACCAGTAAAAAGTGTAACAGAGGACTTGGCACTTTCTTCTAACATCCGAATTGGAATGACTACTTCCTCACTTCCTCCACTGCTCATGAACTTGCTTGGGCAATGGGCAGCCTTCTCACATCGCCCTGCTCCTGGGAAGAGCTCTGCTGAGCCCTGCCTGGACTCCTTGAACCCACCCTATACAAAGCTGAATACGAGTCACCAAAACTTCTGAGTGAGCGAGCCTGAAGCCCCAGACCAAAGCCCTTCCGTGAAGTCCACCTCTTACAAAAACACTCCATACCTCTGAATCCCAGGCCCAGACCACCCCACCACTTAGGGCACTGTCTGTACCTCTGTCTCTCTTCCCAGCACACCTGGTAAGGAGACAGAACGTGCCACCCTTTCCCCTGAGCCTTGGCCTTCCAATGATGGCTGGCTTTGTTCTGGAACCCTAAGAGGTATTTGGATCTTGTTTGGATCCAGGTCTGAGAAAGAGGGAGAAGGCTGGTCTCAAGTCCTAGGGGGACCCACTGTCTCATCAAAGTATGGGCATGCTCCCAAACAACTTTTCTAGGTCTCTGCTGTCCCTCCGTCATACACGCCAGCTGGGACAACTGCCCTTTCAACATGTCCCCCAGACACGCCCCACTCAGGCCTCTCTAGTATGCCACCAAATCGACCTCAGCAGAGACCCCACCTCCAGCTCACATCCCACCTAACCTTCCCTGCCATTGGCAAACCTTAGCATGCAGGCCCTTCCCTCTGCTCCTGCCCACATGCTCCCTGCCTGAGGTAGGACCAGCACCCCCCCACCCCCCAGCACAGCAGCTCTGCCTTACTTGGCTTGGTGTCCCTGCACATCCTGCATTCCCTGCCAGAAGGAGCTAACAGCCTGTGGAACCTGGCAAGGCCCTGCTGGACTCCGTGATGCCATCACTGCTCCGAGCAGCACTGGTGTGAGCGACAACAAAACCAATGCAAAGCACAGAATGACAACACAGCTTTTTAATTGGGCTTGACAGCAAGTGTCACAGAAAGCTGCCATTCACAACCCCTAGAGCTCTAAATACCAACTACGTCCCCTGGACAGAATAAGAAAACCACCAGCCAAGTTTACACGTGCTCCATTTGGGGGGCTGGTTGGTGAGCAATCCCCACTGTGCACGTGAGACACGCAATTTCCAGCAGAAAGGTCTCTAAGAAGGCACTCAAGTACCTCTCAGAGCACAAAACAAAGTGAGGCGCCTTCTATGTCTAGCAAACAGCAAAGAGGCTGGTGCCCTTAGGGCCTCTGTGGGGAAACATTTAGAAATGCCATCATACATACTGCTGAGCTCCGCAGCAATCCCAGCTTAGAATTAAGTGTGCTCTAATGGGCACACTTCAACTGCTGGGAGCCAGGGGGTGAAGTGTGTCCCAGGAGGCAGGGAGGAAGGCCATTTCCTGCTGGTGGGGAGGTGGGGCCTGTGCTCACAGGGATGTAATCCACACTGCCTGCTTGCAGATGCCTGCCCAGCACAAGGAGCCCTGCTACACAGCACTTGGCCACAGCAGCCAGCATCAGCAGATGCTATGGGACCATGCAGTCAACAAAGGTGTGGGAACCACCCTTAAATACTACACTACCCACTCACACCTGAGGGGCATCCTGCCTCACACCTGACAGCTCACACCTGAGGGGCATCCTGCCTCACACCTGAGGGGCATCCTGCCTCACACCTGGCAGCTCACACCTGAGGAGGCATCCTGCCTCACACCTGAGGGGCATCCTGCCTCACACCTAGCAGCTCACACCTGAGGGGCATCCTGCCTCACACCTGCCAGCTCACACCTGAGGGGCATCCTGCCTCACACCTGAGGGGCATCCTGCCTCACACCTGCCAGCTCACACCTGAGGGGCATCCCGCCTCAAACCTGGCAGCTCACACCTGAGGGGCATCCTGCCTCACACCTAGCAGCTCACACCTGAGGGACATCCTGTCTCACACCTGGCAGCTCACACCTGAGGGGCATCCTGCCTCATACCTGGCAGCTCACACTTGAGGGAGTCTCCTGCCTCACACCTGGTAGCTCACACCTGAGGGACATACTGCCTCATACCTGGAAACTCACACCTGAGGAGGCAACCTGCCTCACACCTGGCAGCTCACACCTGAGGTGGTATCCTACCTCATACCTGGCAGCTCACACCTAAGGGGCATCCTGCCTCACACCTGACCTGGCAGCTCACACCTGAGGGGCATCCTGCCTCACACCTGGTAGTTCACACCTGAGGGGCATCCTGCTTCACACCTGGCAGCTCATACCTGAGGAGGCATCCTGCCTCACACCTGGCAGCTCACACCTGAGGAAGGCATCCTGCCTCACACCTGGCAGCTCACACCTGAGGGGCATCCTGCCTCACACCTGGCAGGTCTCCTCTGGATGGTACCCATGGAGGTAGTTCACTAACCAAGAGCTGAGATCAAGTCTCTGGTGGGGGCAATGAGCCTGCCAAGAGAAGAAACAATAAATGGCAACGCCTAAGAGCCTCCAAACATAGGATGTGGAATGACTACGCTTACAACGTTCAAAGGAAGAAAGAGAAGGAAGCCATGAAAAACATTAGCAAGGAGAAAGATCTGCTAACAAGATTCAGAAAGTGATGGCATCTCCCATGCAGATCCAAGCTAGATCCACTATGAAGCTCCAAACAGAAAAGCCAGAAGCCTAAGAGGAAATGGCTATCATACTTAAAAACAAACAAAACATGAGATCATATTCCTTCTACTAAGAACTGGACTGTACCTGTAATTCCTACACAGAGAACTAACCAGCTCGGCCCCTACTGTAAACAAGGCCTACAGGAAGACATGCAGTACAATGGGAGAAACTCTTCCCTTGTGTTTCTGGAACTATAGAAAAGCACAGTGCACAGAATTTTTAAGAGTCTCAAAGTTATGAGCTATGTTTCTGATTACTTCATTACCTTCCTAACATTTATTAGGATTATATAAACTTCCTGTGTTGTTTATGGAGAAATCTGACAACTATAAAAATTTATTTTCAACTTAAAGATTCTAGTCAGGCACTGGTGGCTCAAGCCTATAATCCTACCTACTCAGAAGGCTAAGATCTGAGGATCACACTTCAAAGTTAGCCTAGCTAGGAAAGTTTGTGAAACTCTTATCTACAATTAACCACCAAAAAAGCCAGAAGTGGAGTTGTGGCTCAAGTGGTAGAGCACTAGCCTTGAGTAAAAAAAGCATAGAGACAGCACCCAGGTCGAGTTCAAGCCCCAGGATCAGCAAAGAAAATATATGTATCTTCTAACCCGGTACTGGTGGCTCATGCCTGTAATTCTACTCAGGAGGCTGAGATATGAGGATCTTGTTTTGAAGCCAGCCTAGGAAGGAAAGTCTGTGAGACTCTTATCTCCAACTAATCACCAAAAAGTCAGAAGTAGAGCTGTGGTTCAAGTGGAAGAGTGCCAGTTTTGAGCAGAAAAATCTCAGGGAGGGCACCCAGGCCCTGAGTTCAAGCCCTAGGACAGTACAAAAGGAAATTTTTTTTAAAAAGTAGCTAGCAAGCTCTACCTGCTGCAGCGGTAACCAGCCCAAAGAACACTTTTGCACTGATACGGAAACTCTTCTCCTGGCTGGAGACCCATTTGACAGCCTCCCTGTTTCCTGCATGAACCACACAGAATGCTGTAAGGCCAGCACCACACATCTGTTCCCTGTGTACACTCAGCCTTCTGTGCCCTGGGCCAGTGCACAGGGGCCCTCGCTTTGCCTAATGTTTATGAATAAAGAGCTTCCCTTTACCTTTGATAGGAGCCTGATTTTATTTTCCTTCATAGCATTATAAAGCAAAACCTGTATTCTTTCCTAAAAAGCTCTATTTTCCTCAGATCTTTATTTACTACTTCTTGTAACATGCAATTCCTGAAAACAGCATTTAACTTGGTTAGCAATTCAGCCAGTGCTTCTCACTAAACCTCAGAACCTCAAGCTGACCGAACCACCACTTCAACAGCCCACTGTCCTGTCCCGTGGCCTTGAGTGAAGGCTTCTGGAAACTCTGGGCCCACACTGTGTTCCCTATCTGTCTGAGTGACACTAGGACTGCTCCTCCTATCTCTCAGCCATGAAGATGCCTGGCACTGGCCATTGCTCTCCTGCCAGGCTCCCGTGTCCTGTCTCAAAGTCTGGCTAGAGGTGATTCTCCACACCAGCAGAACAGATGATTCAATGGCCAGAGCAGAAATCAGAGCAGAAAATCAGGGACTGGATGACTCTGCCAGGTGCTGTCCTCAATTCAACCCAGCCTTCCAGAAACTCCCACTTCTGTTAGAGGCTTCCTGTAGAAACCCCGCCTCCTATTCACACAGCACTGCAGAGGACGGGAACACCCAGCCTCCTATTCACACAGCACTGCAGAGGACAGAACACTCAGCCTCCTATTCACACAGCACTGCAGAGGACGGGAACACCCAGCCTCCTATTCACACAGCACTGCAGAGGACGGGAACACTCAGCCTCCTATTCACACAGCACTGCAGAGGACGGGAACACTCAGCCTCCTATTCACACAGCACTGCACAGGAGGGGCCAAAGAACTAAAGAATGCAGAACAGACTTGTGCATCAAGACAGTGTGACTGGTCAATGACATGGCAGTACCACTGACGCCCAGGAGCACCTGTCTGTCCCACCTCCCCCTGAGCGCCCACCAACCCTGTTCCTGCTTTAGGACTCACCTCTCTGAACTTCTGCAAGACCCGGGCACTCTGGTAAGCTCCAACTGTAATTTCTGGGAGATAGACAGGGATGGCTGTGTAGTTTAATACTTCCCACTTATCCTGGGTCCTAAAGATAAAGACAACACGAATTAAATCCAGCCATGGGTACAGGTGTCATAAAACAAGCATCCACTCAGGAAAATGCTATTCATTAGCAAAGCAGTCATCTCATTAGCACAAACTCCACCCCAAGACCAAGGGGACCATGGCAGATGCTCTGCTGAAGCTGCTCTAGATGCTGAGGGCCTCTTCTAACACCTGGGAGCCGTCAGTGATGGCTTTAGAGAATGAACACAGTTCGGAAACGTGAATGAGGAGCCGAATGTGCTTCACACCCAGGGACAGGAGAGAAGGTTACCAACAACGGCTATGTCACAGCACTGTACATAGACAAGCCCCCCACAGAAGTGGGTAACATTACCGCACCTTGGGAAGGGGCCTTGCTAGGCTACAAACCAGGGCTCAGATGTTTCTGTCTGAAGAAAAGTTGTTAGTATCCCACAGAACTCACTGGAGCACAGGCCTGCAGAGGGTGGTCCATGACACCACCACTTAAGAAAGGCGGTGGCTCATGCCTGTAATCCTACTCAGGAGACTGAGATCTGAGGATCAAGGTTCAAAGCCAGCCCAGCTGGGAAAAGTCTGTGAGACTCTTATCTCCAATAAACCACCAGAAAACCAGAAATGGCACTGTGGCTCAAGTGGTACAGTGCTCACCTTGAGCTGAGGGACAGCACCCAGGCCCAGAGTTCAAGCCCCATGATTGACCAAAAAAAAAAGGCCATTTCTTTGGCATCGATAAATTAAAACCATGGGATGGTCTCCTTGTTCTACCGTTGCATTTTGCCAAATGCTAAGATATTTTTATATACCGTTATAACACTAAGATTTCATTCTTTATCATTTTATATATTGGGATATTTTCTTATCTTAAGTTAATCTGAATATAATCTCTACACTTGAAGACAAAAAACCCTTTTTTGAGCTTTAGAAAGCATTAAAATAAAATCTTTCTTACAGGCTCAAAACACAGAAAATAGTTTCAGTGGCTATTTTCCCATTAACAAGCTGTAGAGGCTTTCTTGTCCCAGCTCGAGTGAAAATCTACCAATACACCTGGTTCTCAGCCACACCTTACAAGAAGGTGCCCAGGCCTGCTCTGCAAACCCAAGGCCTGGGCTGACAGCAGGGGATGGACGATGTGATGGGCATGCCCTAGGTCCTCCACCACACATGGCCCCACCCGCTATGAGCCATGATCCCATCACTCTGAGGAAATGCTGCCAGGTCCCAGTCGGCCTGCTCTCCAGCGGGCTCCACTCAGGGAGATAAACAGCTACAGTGCACATCCTCAAAGCTTATGTTGACTTCTTAGTATATCAAGGTGATTCTACCCACCAGAAAAATATTCAAATATTTTAAAAGATTAAGGCAAACAAGAAAGTGTGTAAAGGTCCCAAAGTGGCTACATTTTGTAAGACTGTGGGGTTCAGTTATTAGAAATGCAGTCTGGCTGTGATCAAACTTCACACTGCTTGGCAGACTTCCTCTCAGAGCCAAGTGCCAGCAGCACTGCTCACGCTGACACAATGCTCACACCGACACAGTGCTCACACTCGTGGGCTGATTCTGTACACATGAACACAGCCTCTCCTGTGATAAGCATAATCCTCTACAGCTGCTATGAGCAATTCTTTGATAACCAAATTAAAAATTTCAACTAAAATTAAACTTCATGCTTTAGTAAATATATATTAATAAATAAAAAGGTGGTTAGGAGAAGTTTTTATCCCCCACAAAAAGGTTGAAAATCGTTAAGAAAATACTGGAAAAATCTGAAAGAACTTAATGGCCTAGAAGCACTGGGCCTACTCAGGGCAGCAGTGCCACCTATGTGTAATCTGGCAGAATTACATGTCACATGCAACCCTAAAAAATCTTGGAATAAACTTAACAGTATCTTTGAAGATTAAAAAATAATCTGCCCCTATCCTATACCCTACTTAATTTTATCTAAGTTCAGCCCTCAGTGTATCAGTCTTACCGTCTGTCACTATGAGGAAATGTCTCTAATAAGCCTACATCTATTCTAGATTGGAGATACATAAGGAACACAGACACCATGAAGAATTCTGCAATTCAGGATGCAAAGAGCAATTAAAAGAAAGCAGCCAGTCCACAGTATGCCCTGTTTAAGAATTTGAACACTAGACAGGTGCCCGTGGCTCACACATGTGAAACTATCTAGTGTCTGGCGTCTGAGGACTGTGATTCAAAACCAGCCCAGTGCAGAGAAGTCTGTGAGACTCAAGTAACCAAAAGCTGGAAGTGGAGCTGTGGCTCAAGAAATGGTAGAGTTCTAACCTTGCGCAAACAATCTCAGGGTCGAAAGCCAAGCCCTGAGTTCAAGCCCCAGGACCAGTGTGTACACGTACACACACACACACACACACACACACACACACACACACACAGAGGACCAGTGTACATACACACACACAGGACCAGTGTGTACACACACACACACACACACATAGGACCAGTGTACACACACACACACACACACAGGACCAGTGTACACACACACACACACACACAATTTAAAAACTGAGAATAACTATCCTTGAGGCCAAAGAGTACAAGAAAGAAGATGACATACACCAAAGTCTAGCTACGAAACTGCCATGTAGAAAACCAAATGGCAGATTATGTTTTACAACTCAAACTGTTCCCCAACAACACAATCCACACTTTCTCCTACAACGTTCCCAGTCTGCTGTTCATTTCTCCCTGAACTGTCACGTTCTGTGTGAAGCCGAGCCCTTGTTCCACGTTGGAAAGATGCTACGCAGTCCCAGACACTCTGAAGGAGGGAGGCCAGGCTTTGGGGACACCTGGACTCCTACCTGGCGATCTGTGACCCACCCAAGTGGCAACAGCCAGTCATGGATACAGGCACAGGCACCGCAGTCTGTCAATTACTGCCTCAATGCAAGCACACACAGGCAATTACATACCAACACAGAGACCTGAGACAGTACAAAAATGTCAACCCATAATTTGGCAGGCTCTGTACAAAATGACTAGAAATGGTAAATAGCATATTTACAATAATTATCTCAGAAAATTGGTCATTTAAGAAATGCTACTCAAATGAAAATAAACACAATTACACTGTACAATGTTGTGAAACACAGGGGGAAGTTACATAAAATGAGGAAAAGGACAGGACAAAACCATAGGAAACCGAAGTAAAACAATTAATTGAATGCTGTAATTTAAAATTTGGGGGAAATTACAGGATCCTTCTCTATGCCATATAACCATATAACTAAGCAATTTACTACAATTATGACTTTGTAACATGAGTTTTGGACATAGTACAGAGTTAAATCAATACACATTTTAGATTATGTTTAGAAAATGACAAGGTATTACTAGTGGGGGGGAGTGGGGGGAGGTCAACGGTCAGACATTCTTCACTCTCACAAGGCTGAAGGATCTTAGGACCATCACCTTTCCTTACACGACAGCTCACACATCCTGCCAGCTATCAATAACCTTGACAGAAAAGGGTCACATAAGAACCAGCTTGTAGGAATTCACGGAGGATTCAGGAGTGGTGGGTCCCAGCAGGCTTTGAAGCATTTCAGGATCTGCAGACCATCAGCAGGCAGAAGAGCAGGGACCAGACTTTGCAGGCAATCAGCAGTGGATGCACAAGGCCTAGAAGGGTAACTGGCTTTCTGGTGGTCATGGCAGAAGCAGGGCAGAGGCTCAAATCCTGAGTTCAATCTAGGAAATGAAACTGGAATCTGAACCCAGACAACTAAGCCACTGAAGGGGTGTTCTCGAAACAGGGCCTCTGTGAGACACGAGGCGGGGGTGAAGCTGTAGCTGACTGGAAGCAGAGATCCAGAATAAGCACAAGGTGGCACAGTGGAAGAAGCGGAGAGAAAGGCAAAAATGGAGCATGTCAGCCGCAGAGGGCAGCTCAGGGAAGAGCGAGGGGCAGCCTGTGGGAAGAGGAGCACCTGAGCGAGGACGGCTGGTGGCACCCCCCTTCCTACAGCCCAGGGAGCCAAGCGCGGGCCCCGGCACCAGCAGGTCCTCAGCTGTACAGGAGTGCTGCAGAGCAGAGCGCGCACGCATGCAGGCTCAGACACACACACAGTCGCACAGGGAGCAAGGGACAAACCTCAGCTCAACTTACCAATATACATATCCCGTAATGTCCAGTAAACAAGTTATCAGTTTTTAAAGAGTGGGGACCAAGTTCCAGCACCCAAAGTGAGGAGCCTGGAGCTGTCACTATTGTCCTTACAGTAAGAAAAAGCTGAAAATCAGTGAGGCATCTCTTGGTACCCATAAGGAAGAGTTCCAGGACCCCCAGGATGCCCAGCCCTGTGGATGCTCATTATATAAAAAGGCATGCACTCACACAGAGCCCAGAATGCCCCCTTGTGCGCTTTATCAGTCCATGCCTTGTGCACGGCTGCGATACCAGACTGCTTAAGGAGTAACGGGAAAAGTGTACACGTTAAGTGTAATTGCAGTCTTAACAGGCTTTGCACAAGGTTGAAATCTATGAATGTGGAACCCTAGATGTGATGTGTTAGCTATGCTAAAAACAAACCAACAAAAAACCACAGTAGCAAGGCAGTGATGATCGCAGTATGTAGGAAGGGAACCCACTCTAGCAGAGAGAGGGAGAGGGAGAGAGAGGGAGAGAGAGGCAGGGAGGGAGAGAGAGAGAGAGAGAGAGTGTGTGTGATGGAGGGTACAGCGGAAGCAGGCTGTCAGCACTGCACGGCCAGGGAACAGCCAGGGAAGATACTAGATGCTCAACAGCAACTGTAAAAGCATTGCTGCAGTCTTCACAGTACCGCTGTAATAACAAGGAATACATTGCTGATGTTGCAGCTGGAGGCAGGATATAAGCTGGAATCTCACAAAATGCTCAACTAAGTGTGAGGGTTGGGGGGGCGGGGAGAGGAGAAACTGGGAGCTAGCACTGCGTCTGCATTCCAGACCAGCGGTGCTCACTTCACCGTGAATGGTCCAGGCACACCGTAGAGAAGCAGGGATGGCAGAGTGGATTTTAAGACACCCACTTACCTCTCCTTCCCAAGAAAACGTTGATACAGGTAAGTTACAAGGACACTGAAACCCTATGCTTAAATTAACCAGAAGCAGAAGTGGCTTTACTAACTTCAGAGGGAGCAGACCTGAGGACAAGGAAAGTATCAGCACACACAGGGGCTGGGCAAAGTGCTAAAGGGTAACTTCCCTCAGAAGTCACCCACCAAAGCACAGATGAACCTAACAACAGGCCATCAAACCTCCCAGCACAAACTGAGAGTTCAAAGGAGAAACAGCAAGGTGGGTTCTGTGGTAGCAGATGTTAACCCTGTCTTTCAGAAACAGACAGGCGCAGCAGAGGGGTCTGAGAGGACAGGTCCAGCCAGCCACCATGTCCATCAGCTCCATCTACAGGACACTCGGCACTCTTCCCACACCAGGGTCCATGCTTTGTTTTGTTTTTCCAGTTCCAGGACTTACATTCAGCTGAAGCTCAGCGTGCTGGCTCAGCCTGTGATCCGCCCCTTGAGCTACACCTCCAGCCTATCTTTTTTGCTAGTGAACTGGACATGGAGCCGCTTGGACGTTTGTAGCCAGACTCGCTTCACACTGTGACCCTAAGGTCTCAGACTCGCCTGTAGCTGGGATTACAGGCCTGAGTCCCCAGCACTTGGCTGAGCCCATCTTCTACCCATCAGTGGAGCATTAACCAAGACAGAGGGCATGCCTGCTCTGCACACCTGACCAAAGGTGCGAGAGAAACACGCAGCCCTGCCTAGCACGCACGAGGCCTTGAGTTCGATAAACTGAACAAAAGGGAATTATGATTCTAGAAGAAATGAGGACCCCTTGTTCCAGGTCGCCCTCCTGGGTCCAGGAGCGAAGCGAGTACAGCAACGCACATTCCCATGCCTGAGTCCACGCTCCCGCAGAGGTCGGCGTGGACGCAGTCAACAGGGGCGGCAGCAACCAGCAGGACGGGTGAGACGCAGCAGACCACAGTGTGCCCACAGGGGCAGTGCTCATCCAGATGGGAGGAGCAGCGTGGCACGTGCCTGTCACCCGGTGTCCCATGAGACAGAAGCTGGTCCGTGGACCGAGATAGGCTCCCAGGCTGTGGGGGAGGGCCCCAGGGTTCGCCCAGGACCCTTCCCCGCAGTCTTCTGCTCAGTTCTGCTCCCACTCCTGTCCCAACGCTCTTAGACCTTGCAGCCCAGTCCTGTCCTTGCTCTAACCTCTTCTGGCAGAGGCCTCTGTGACCTCCAGAGCCCATGGTCGCTGCACCCCAACCACTCATGGTCCTGTGACTTGAGAGTCCCTCGGACTCATACTGTTTAAAAATGTTTACTCTAGTCCCTAATATACTCCGTTTGGAGCAGAAATTTTATCCTGCACTTTAAATTCTTAAATCTGAAGTAATGCCTAGACACAACGAAAGCAAAATACTTCTTGAATTAATAATGGCAGTAGAGAACTCAAGAACTGTATGGAAGGAAACAGTTCTGCTTGGCCGTGTTCACATCTAACCCGAACCATCATGACTTCAAGGTTGAGCAGGGTCTGCAGCTGTAAGTAGATCCACTATACTCAAAAGAACAACTGTTTCCATCACCACAGCTCCCTACCTCTATCAAACATGGCAATCCCTCTCCCATCAAACACCACAAACCTCACTCCACAGCTCCACACCAAACACCACAACCCCACTCCACAGCTCCA